GAGTAAGCATGGAGAGCATTTTCTCACTTGTTTTCTCTCTTTTTCTTTTTACTGTCCTTGGTTAGCACCACCTAGGGTGTAGTTTTCAAAAAAAAAAAAAAAAAAAAAAAAAACATGGACGTCCTGCTTCACCTTTCTTTTGTTCCCAGGGATGGGAAGTGGTGTGTGAAAGGAGTGTAATTAATGGACCTACAAATCGCTGCGGTTGGGTTGAATGACAATCTATCTGTTGCGGGGCAGCAGCCTTTGTTACTGTGGCAACGGCGAGCTCCTGACAGGTGATGGTGTATTTTTTTAAATGCTAATGAAGCACAGCGCCTCGCCGGTTCGCACCGTAGGGGCCAACGTGTTGGGCATCCTTCGGGGGTTGGGGATGGTGGTGCGACTTGGGGAAGAACGGGCAGGGGGGTATTAACGCTCTTGATCATCGACGAGGCCGGCAGCAGGTGTGAAGGTCGAGAAACTGCATCGGCTTGACTTCCCTGAGAGCCTCGCCGCCCGGGCTGCCAATTTCTAATTGATGCTTTAAATGAGGCAAATGAAGCGAGCGTGACGAACGGTGTCAAAACAAGTCGGAGGGTTGCATGGAGGAGCTCAGTGCCGAGACAGAGATCAGAAGCGTGATCAGGTTACCAGGGAGCAAATTTCAGGTGCGCAGCCAGCAAGACCAAATCTGACTGAGCTCGCTCACAGGGTGCGAAGTTTCACAAATCGGCGACAGTTGACCACTGGTTTTGTGCCGATTAAAATTTTTTATTTGAATCGCACCATTGCAAGTGTAACAGCCAATCAAAACGCACATGAGCATTCACAATTTTTTTACCCTGGTGCCAAGCCCTACTAATACAATTTATACAGAATACATATAGTATGTGTTTACAACAATACTTAACTCACAGGACGTTTTTCTAGATGTGACATATTGTACGACCATGAATTCCCTTCTGTGAAATTCCACCCTTCGTCCATCCATGTTGTAATCGGCTTGTCTTCATGAGGGTCGCGGGCGTGCTGGAGCCTATCCCAGCTGTCTCGGGACAGTAGGCGGGGTACACCCTCAACTGGTTGCCAGCCAATCGCAGGGCACACACAGACAAACAACCATTCGTGCTCACACTCACACAGTCAAAAAAAAAACCCAAAAAACCCTGTGCTTGTTTTTGGAATGTGGGAGGAAACCGGAGTACCTGGTGTAAACCTACACAGGCATGGGGAGAAAATGCAAACTCCGCACAGGAAGACCGTAATCGAACACTGCACCTCTGCACTGTGAGGCGGCGGTCCTAACTCGTCGACCACCGTCACGTTATATTCGATGACGGATCACACGAACATCTCAAGTGACATGATTGATTCTTCAGCGCCATTGTCATTCATTTTTATATTCAGACCATTTCTAAGAGCATATCTGCGTCTCTCATCAATCAGTCAATCCAAGGGAGGCGCCATCTTTTTTCACCGTATGCTTATCTCCGTCCCTCAAAGATTGTCAAGTCTGCTGCTAATCCTCGAAATCTGCAGCCTGAGTCAAAACTCGACTCCAAACTCTCTGGTGAGCCACAAAGAGGCCCGGTCTGTATTGTCCTCCGTGGATGAGAAAATGCCACACCTGTGAGTTTTAATAATTTTGGTGAGTCAAAGGAGCCACGAAGCACTCCAACGGTCCACTCGTGCATTGATGAGGCACATTGTTTTGCTTTTTTTTTTTTTTCCCCTTCCAATCTGATACAGAAGCATCCCGCTTTGTCCGCTTATAATGTGCCTCTTTGCTGGCACAGTAATTGCGAGTGAATGCACTTCAGCACTGCTGCATTCCTGAGTACAAAAAAAAAAAAACTAGAGGAAATGGAGTTGATTAAAGAGCTTTGTTGACAGCTTGTGTCCGTGTTATTCATGGCCGGATATCAGCGCTCTTTATACCAATTGAGATAGATCCAGTGGATTGTAATGAGGGTCTTGTACAAGACAGTCTCTGGTTGAAATGCACAATTCCCATTTTGAACCTCACAGCAATTTTTGTGATGCCTCCTCTTGCCAGTTTGTCATAGCCCGTGGGGTCAATATAGCTTCCCCTTTTAAGTACCATGACCACCATCTGGAATGGAGGTGAACATTTGAAAAATAGGGCCCAAGACCCTTCTAAAGAACATTAGCGAAAATTGTTCTGCTCGGTTGTAGGGCTCCAGACTGCCCCTAAATGGCGGCATTTTGCCCTCACACATGTGCGACCATAAATTTGCGAAAATATTCGTTTTAATTCGTGAATACGCTTCGTTCCTGACAAACCCCTGCTCTACTCTTCTGCCTATCTGTCAGCAATATTGTGAAAATGAGTGGAAATGTGTCATATAACTTCCCTATAACCATCCTCGATCCCTTTACATATTGTCTTTCTGTCTGTGTTTCTCCAGCGTTTGTGTGTGAATATTGGTTATTTGAAGGAATGTCACTCCCAGAGGTTGATGCTAATTCCCATTAGCATGTCGATAGGATTTTATCAAAGACTTTAGCATTAGCGCTGACAATCTTTTTTTTTTTAAACAAATGATCTATCTACTGTAAGTATGCAACGTGTTTAACTGCCCGCCCCTAATAGAAGGGCATCATTGTATTAAGTAGTAACGGCGCACCAAAAGAAGCCATGGAAGTGCGGATCCGTGAGGGACAGGAGAGGAGAGTGGGGCGAAATTCGGCCAAGTCTGACACGGTTCAAATGCCCTCATCTAGTGTAGCGGTTCACACAGCTGACTTTGCACAGGCTCTCCATATAATGGATGGATGGTGTTTCAAAGTACCCGAGACGAGTGCAGATGTTTCTCCACCGTAATCGCCCTCCGACCACCCTGCCCAACTCCTCCCCATGCACTCGTACAACCTTTTACTGTTGATCAATCGCTACTGCGTGCCGTCTAGTAATCTACTCCCAGGCCTTTAATTACTGTCTGGAAGAATCGCGGGTTGAAGGTCCCACATTCCTCAGAGAACCTCATGTGTGTTCTCTGCACGCCTGGGTGGCCTTTCGCATGACGGGCCGGGATTCCGGTTCACCACCCCTGACCGACCTTGAACCCTTTTCCAAAGCTGGATCGCACTCCCTCGGGGAGCAACCATCAGCATCTCCAGGCGGTCTCCGGAGTGAGAGCAAAAGCTCTCTCGACTTACAGTGTAGTGAGGCGAAAGAATGATTTGATCCACTGCTCAATTTTCCAGTTTGCAAAAAAGGTTTGTTGAAATGAACAGTGATTTTTGATTACAGCAATCGATGTAATATTAAAAGGCGCTGATGGTGTAGTTGTGCATTCGCTTGACGTGTGACGTTGTGGATGTGGCTGTGAATGGCACTTTTGACTGACATTCTGTCGAACCCAGAATCAATCGATCACAAAAAAGAAAAAAAAATGGAGTGTACATTCCTAAAGTGAGCAAACTTACAAATTCAGCCGGGGATCAAATGTCCTCTTCTGGAAGTCTGACTCAGACTTTTGAAATGAGAGCCACAGTTCGCAAACCCTGAAGAGAGAGAGAGGAAAAAAAAAAAAACACCCAAGAAGGTGAAAACCCGTCTATCCTCAGGGGGCTCAAGCTCTACTCGCTGTGACAAGAGACGAGATTAGGCAGTTGCGAGGGACTCTTATCTAAGAGTTTGAATGATGTTTGCGCCGAGGTAAAAGCTTGCAATCTTTTACCTGGAAAAACTGCCAAAAGTCCGTCCTCCGCTCCTCCTGAGGTGAAAACCCTCACTTGTATTGCACTGCATTCCAAAAGTCGAAAGGACTTCTGGAGCTTTGTTTTTGTCTCGTCAAATTACCATTACATGGTTTTTAAACATAATTTCCCTAACAGCTAAAATATTTGCTCTAAAATATCCTCAAATCCACATGAGAAGTCATAGAGCAAGGCAAAAATGAAAATTTCTTTTTTCATAATGCTAATTTGCATGGAAATCGCCATTGACGTTGGTTTTTTTTTTCCTCTAAAGGATTTTAGCATGAAAATGCAAACCATTTACACCTAAGAGCCATCACGTGTAATTTTCACACAAAGGTGGAGCATCCGAACACACTTCAACTGAGGAAAAGCAGTGTCTTCATTGACACATCAACACCTGACTAAAAATGACTAACAGTCAGTCTGAATGGATAAGTGGTGTAACATTGACACTTAGCATAATGCTAACTTTACCCTCTCAGGGGCAGCGGTTACGACAGTGGACAGCTTATCAGGTTACAGGTTATCCTAATCGGTGCATGAAAGGCTTAAAAGGAAATGAGCGCCATGATATTATGTTGAGCATCGAGCACGACATGTTTTCGAGACACACGCCAAGCAAAAAGAGCCAAGAGTCCATTCAGACATAAGGCCCGTCTGGATGGACAAAAAAGTGCAGCAATGACAATTCACGTGAGTTAACTCAACATGGAAATGAGAATTCGCCCGACGTTAATTGAACATGAAATCATCTGTTAGATATTTTTCATGCATTTAAGCATTAAAAAAAAAAAGAACTATTTCAACAAACAACACATTGTACTTTCAGATTTACAAGTTTACAGTTGACAAAAGAAACAAATGACTGTTTTGGAGAGATGAATTAAATGAAAAAAAAAAAGGTGGGTCTGAAAAAGACAATAGGACAGCTGTAACCCCCTTGAAGGATAAAACCATTTTAAATCCTCCCCCATCTCACTAGCGCAGTAAGAAAACGTCCAAATCTTTCACTGGACGTAATTGTCCAACAATGCTAAATTCAAGCTCAAATCTCCTTGCTGCGAGGCACTCGCGCTCAACACAGCACTCCAGTGCTGCCCACTCCTACGAAACATGATTACATAAATCAGCTTATAGCCTCTCGTGTCACTGGAAGGCAATCCGTTCAGACAGGCTAATAAATTACAGCAAACAAACTTAGCCGTCCACTTGCGGTAATAGGGTTTGCTGTCTGTTGCCGCACATATCTGCGGGACTTTGTTATGCCTAATCATAAAATTCAACGGGCGGACATAATGTTGTTTTGGCGATAAGGCGGGCGAGGGGGTGGGTGGGGGGTGGGGTGGACGCGCCGGCCGATTTGAATATGCTTTCGACGGGATTTAGCGTCTGCGCCTGCAGCATTGTGACCGCCCGTCATTTTTTATTCGGTGTTTATTAAACGGGCAGAGTCACCGGCGCATCGGCGGCGCGCGGGCACGGGGAGACATATTGTTGAATACCGACGCGGCGAGCGGGCCGCTTATCACGGATGCTGTCTCGCACCATTAAGCAGGAGACGGGATACTGATGACTAAAGGAGAAAGGGAAGGGGGGGGGGGGGGGGGGTGGGGGGGGGGGGGGAGAGCGGGCGCGGGGTGCAGAAACATAAAATGCAAATGCTTACAATAACAAGGGGTGATGCACAATCCACTCCAGCGGGAAACCCGACCTGGCGATAAAGAAAACCAAAGGAGCCTTTGGACGGTTTCAGTGCAAGAGGCGTCACATTAAGACATGTTATCGTGCTGGATGTGCGGTACAGTATGCAGATAGATACGGCTGCTGAATTATTCACCGCGCACTCAAGGGAAGACGCTTGCTATTGATTGGGCCTGTTACACGTGTCATATGACCCCCGCGTTATCAAATGATCCGCACAGATTGCCTTTTCCCCCACCCTGCGCAGATTCGAAGCCCCTTTTCCACTGTGACTGGATCCAATATTGAGGACTAATCGAAAACCTCCTTTGACCTTCAAGTGTTCTTTACTTTTCAGCTCCATGCAGTCACGCTTTGGGAGGCTTTCGCGTGCACGGAACCATTTTTGGACCACGTGCACCATTGGTTGGCCTCATGTGACGTCACAGCCTGCGAATTGATAACATGCACAGGTAGCCACAGGTCTGGAACTATTTTTGGTCACCTAGGGCAAAAGTTCAAAATGTATCCCAAATGCAACGCTTTGAAAAGTTGTTTTTACCTTTTCATATACTGTACAGCCATATTGTTGCCATTTGCCTAAAAAAAACTACAAAAAACAACACAGTGCTACTGTTTATGACAATAGTTACTGGGAAAACTTGTCATCCAGGAAAAAAATAAGTTCAAGTCGCAGGCCTATGTCCAGATGGATTCGAGTTCTTTCCCAGGAATGGAACCATTTTTGGTAACATCAATGTCAGGGCTCGAAATGCACCCTCACTATCAGGCAGAATCTTGTTGGTAAGCGAGAAATGACTTCAGAGTGTGAAATTCATTGATAACGATACCTCGGTATGTCGTGAAAGTCTTGATTTTAACAGACGTACACGTTAGCGTCTTCTGGCTCCGACGCAATTACCAAGCGTCTGAGATGCAATTGTTTTGTGGCTTTTTATTCAGAATCATGCTGAAAAGCAATCTGGTTAGAGCACCAGCTGGTGCTGATGCATCATGATATGTCACATGACGCGTCGCCGCGCTGCATGCAGCTGGTGACAATAACTGAATTTGGATGTGAGGAAACAGCCGTCGATTAAGTGCGCGTGCTTCATCGGGACGGCGGGAAACGAAAAATCATTCTTGGAGAAGAGACTGCAAACTGCCTCTCTCTCATTTTGATTTGAATCTATAAATTCTGTTTACGTTTAATATTTTTCCATTGTTGTTTCAAGGGCCCATGCATGAAATGAAACAGGAAGTCGGCCATTTTGGTGAGAAGCAACCATTTTGGGGGCTAATTCCAGGCTTTGATGTCATGAGTTGAACTCCTTCCGGATAATTCATCCAAGTGAGCTCCAATTGATAACAGCTTTTCACGACAGAGGGGGTGTCGCAAGATTGCAAAGCGTTTTGCCTCTGCGGTCTAATGTGGGCGGCGAAGGCCATCAAAGTTTAATGATCATTTTGAGGATTGGCCGTGAAGAAGCGGCAAAAAAACAATTATCCCGGGAGCTAATTTCGCCGCGACAACAAAAGTGGGTGGATATCTCCGTCATAATAGAAGACATGAAAAAGTTCGAAGCACCGATACACGACATGAAGCAAATTTTGGTTGGAAGCAGCCATTTTGTAGTGAGTTACAGAGATTCGTTCAAATGAGCCCCAGTCACAACCTGGCATCCCAGAAAGATGGGCAAAGCCGTTGTTGCGAAAGCGCAGAGAGCGTGACCTCATATTTTTATGAGCATGTTGAGGATTTGTCATAAAAGAGGGGATGTGCGCACCTTGTAACCTGATAACATGATAAGCTGTCCACTGTCGTAACCGCTGTTCCCCAAAGGGTTTATTAGGGCCTTCACACCAGGGCCGGCTCTCATGGCATTGCCTTTTATTCAATTTTTTTTTTTTTCCAGATGAATTTTTTTGGTGGTCTCATCGAGCAAGAAAACGCACTCATTTTGGCAAATATATTTAACATGGCACTCACTGCGTTACGCCCTCTGTAAAAAAAATGACACCCACTAGCATTTCGGTCAGCTCCAGGGCAAATTCACACAAGAGAATTTTGTACAAACGAGCCCCAATGGACTGCGTGCAAACAGGTCTGCGACGTACTTCCAGTCTCGCCAGTGAGCAGCAAATTAGCCGATGAGCTATTTGCCGATTGCTCGTCAGATGCAAGTATTCCATCGGAAGCGCGCGACCTTGCCAGTGTTCTTTGAGCCAAGGCTGTTTTGTTTTGCCTTCGCCGTCCAAATTGAGCACAGCTCGGCGTCCAAGGTTCGATGTGTCACGCCGTGAAAGAGGCGCGTGCGACGGACGACCCCTTCGTCCCAGCTCGTAGCTTTAATTCTTCCCGCTATTATAATCACGCTGAGACTTCTTGGCTCACACGGATTGCGGCATGTGGCGACTCCACTTCCATCTGTTAACGTAGCGTAGGAAGATAGCGGCCCTGTACTTTCATGACCTCTTCCATGACTTCCTCGTGCTGAGAAAGCCTCTGTTGTAGACGGTGTATACTGTAGCAGAGGCCTCCTGGCATTTATTACCCAATCAATACCCAACTTAATGTAATTTAGTGGGAAGTGGTGAACTCTTTTACTTTTACTCCCCCCCGCCCCCCTTTTCCTCCTCCGCCTCCACCCCTCTTCGCCGGGTAAAAGGGCCTCTCTCATTGCTCCATTCTTTTCCCGCTGAAGACAGATACAATGTTCTCCGAGCAGCCTCCGTGACTGTTCTCACGCTTTCCCGTCCTTCAGCGCCGTAACGAGTGGAAGCCGCGTGGCTCCCGGCCAGCAGTCGTTCTCTCACTTTGCCAAAGTGAAAAAGCTTTTCCCCCAAACTTTTTAAACAACCGCTGGTCTCCGCCGGCCTTGACATGATCAGAAGTATTGACCTGAAGGAATATCCTTACAGCACATCCATTCATTCCCTGTTCCGCTTATCCTCACGAGGGTCGCGGGTTGAGCTGGAACAGTGACACTGGCGGAGAAAAAAAAAATGGGGAAAATGTTCTCTTTTACAGGCAGCATGAAAGGGGCTCAAGACAAATTTCCCTACAGGGACAAACAATAAAGTCGATCCTGTCGTAACCTACGTGGTTGTTTTTGTACAAAAGTACAAAACGTTTGTGGCTCGGTGCGAACTCGGCGGTGCGCGGGGAGTCGTATTTAAACAAAGCACTAAACGCAGGTGGTCACAACTTTGTGTAGTCTGGCGGCGCAACAGCTCACTCTCCACCCACGGCTATTTGTAAAAATAAAAATAGGCAGTTGAGATTCTTTTTTACAGCGGGGGGAAAAAAAAAGAGCCTGAACACCATCTATTGGCCTGCGGTGGCTTATTTTCCACACTTGAGCCAAGTTTTTTGAGATCACAGAGCACTTTGATTGGGGCTGATTTT